CCCGAGACCCATCTCTGCAAGGCGCCCCAGAAGAATACCGTGGTCGACGGTATCGAAGGCCGCTGAGAGGTCCAGAAGCACCAACAGGGACACACTCCCCCTGTCGAGCTCCCGGCGCAGATCATCCACTAAGGCGACCAAGACTGTCTCAGTTCCATGTCCCGGTCTGAAACCAGACTGTGCCGAGTCTAGATAATCCGTGTCTCTCAAGAATACCTGGAGTTGTGAGGCCACCATGCTTTCCAGGACTTTGCCCAAAAAGGGGAGATTGGAAACCGGCCGAAAGTTGTCAAATTTAGTGGGGTCTAGTGATGGTTTCTTCAACAGCGGTTTTATTATAGCTTGCTTTAAGCTCGCTGGAATTTTGCCTTCCCGAAGGGAGGCATTAACCACCACCTCCACCCACTCAGCCAATCCCCCTCTGGCCTCCTTTAGAAGCCAGGATGGGCAGGGGTCTAGGATGGACGTGGTTGGCCTCATTCCTCCAAGTATCTTGTCCACATCCTCGGGCTTCACCAATTGAAATGAATCCATCAAAATAGGACAAGCAGGTGCTCTTGCTACATCCACAGAGACTGCATTTAACATGGTGTCCAGACCAGAACGGATCAAAACGACTTTGTCTGCGAAGAACCGAGCAAAAGCTTCACAGAGAGATGTCGAGTTGTCAGGGATCCCACCTTGTGTGGTGGGATTCAAAAGACCTCTGACAATTCGAAACAACTCAGCCGGACGGTTCTTTGCAGACGCAATAGTGGCCGCAAAGAAAGCCTTCTTTGCGGCTTTTATTGCCACGGCATATGCCCTCAGAAAGGACACAAACCGTGCTCGATTTGGCTCGCTCGGGTCCGAACGCCACACACTCTCTAGTTCCCTCTTCCTTCGCTTCATCACTGCCAGCTCCTCGGTGAACCAAGGCGCTGGTTTAGCTCGGCTACTTGAGAGGGGATGTTCCGGAGCGATCGTGTCAATTGCCCTAGTCATCTCCCCATTCCAGAGAGCGACCAGGGCGTCGACAGGATCACCTACCGAGGCGGCGGGAAACTCCCCAAGAGCCGTCAGGAATCCATCCGGATCCATAAGCCTCCTGGGGCGGACCATCCTAATAGGTCCTCCACCTCTGCAGAGGTTAGGGGGTGCAGTGAGCCTAAATCTGACCAGGTAGTGGTCGGTCCATGGCAACGGAGAGATGGTCAACTCCTCAACACCGCCACCTTCCTCCCATCCCTGGCAGAAAACCAAGTCCAATGTATGTCCTGCACTGTGAGTGGGGCCAGCTACTTGTTGGGACAGCCTCATGGTTGCCATATTGAAGTCCCCCAGCACAAGGAGCTGCCGGGACTCCAATGCCAGGCTCGAGACCACCCCCGCTAGCTCAGGTAGGGAGACTGTAGTGCAGCGAGGTGGACGGTACACTAACAGAATCCCTATTCTGTCCCGGTCACCCACTCTCAGGTAGACGCCTTCAAAATTTGTAGTCTGCGGGATGGGGCCCCTGGTCAGAGGGATGGAATCTCTATAGACCACTGCAACCCCGCCTCCCCGCCCTCCGGATCTTGGTTGGTGCTGCACGGAGAAACCTGGCGGGCAGAGCTGGGTGAGATTCACCCCCCCCCCCAGCCTCATCCAACCAGGTCTCCGTGATGCACGCCAGATCTGCCCGCTCATCCAAAATTAGGTCTTGGATGAAGGTGGTTTTTCCGTTGACAGATCTGGCGTTCAACAGCACCACCTTCAGTCCGGAGGGACCGCCAACCTGGTTACACCAATTTACCATATAAGGAGACCGGTTTGGAATTACTAATGTTGGTGCACAATCCCTAGGCCGAATTGTTGGTCTCCTTGTTCCGCATCTCCCCTTCCCCACCACCACTTCTATGGGGGCCCCTCGGCTGGTGGAACACCCTCCCCCCTCCATGCCACATTCCATCCCTGTAGTCTCAGTTCGCGTTTCATTGTTAGTTGTATGGCTTGTTGGGATCTTAAACCAGTTCGCCTTTCCATCCCCTATGTTCCCTCCCCCCGTCCCATTGTTTCCCCCGTCTCCAGCCCGCTGCGTCCCCAGACCCCTCCACAGAGGATTAACAGTACAGATAGAAGATACCAAGGAATGGGGGAGCACATGGATAACAGTTATCAATGCACTTATGGACGTTTCCCGATCTCAATATGTAGCGGGTACTCTCTTTCGCTCTTAAAGTGCAATGTGCCAGAATTTGTTAAAGTGCAGCATGGAGGTAAAGTGCTAAGATTGGTCAATAGCAGCCTAAAGTATGGGATTAGCAGCAAAAGGAATAGGGGTTTGACAAAGTGCTATTCTAAGCGAACTTGCAGGCTGTTAAAGTGCAGTGGATAGTGCAAAGATAAACACAGTTGTTATTAATGGCGTTGTTGTGGCATACAGTATGGAATAATCTGGAACAATTTTTGTTGCAAAGACAGTGCTTTGTTGTAAAGACTGGAGCTCCTGCTCCAGGTATTTTGGCCTGCTGCCTAATGGATATTTTAACCTGATATAAATCTGCCCTGGAGTACTCACAGATTCAGCCATATAATCCACCCTATACACTTTGGTCCTCTGGGAGACACTTACTCTTACCAGCCAGAACCTGACTGGCAACACCCACCCAGAGGACCTTTACATTGGCCACCCCATACTGTGGAATGACCTGTCAGAAGAACTTCAACAGCTAAATTATCTGTTAGAATTAGAAACAACAACAACAATTGAAGACCTATCCCTTTTGCAGGCCTACTTAGTCAATTTTAAACTATACATTTAAATATACATTTTATTCATGTTGGTGTCAAAAATGTGTTATGTATAATATTATATGCATTTAATACTATTATATTTTTCTATGTATTTTAATCATGTTGTACCTCACCTCAAGCCGTGAAGGAACACTATTTAATCCTGAAGACTTGTGGGTATAGAAAGAGGATGGAAATTAATTTCATGAATCTCCTCTTTCCTCTTGTGCTCTCACCCCATGCTTCTTCTTGTCCTTTCAAAGAGTCCATTAAGCTTTCCTGAGTAGAGTAGTTAGAGGGGATACAGGAAGCTGGAGAGAGAAAGTAAATCTGCAGATACCACATCCTCCTTTCTGCTCAGACACCTCCAGAAGATCAAAGAACTTACCATTAGTGGAAGGAAAAACCCTAAACATATAACTGTATATGTATATTTTTGTACAAGTGTGATAAAAATTATCTTATTGAAGTCGTTTTTTCATTCAGAAATGTTATTTTCAGAAGAGGCATTTTGATATGTGTTTTCCGTCTAGTAGTTAAAAATATTAATGTTTCACACTCTGAGGTGTAACATGGGCCCATCTACACTGCCATATAATGTAGATTCAGAATGCAGATTAACTTAATTGAACTGGATTATATGGTAGGGTGGACTCATATAATCCATGAGTCTATATATATCATATATATATTATGATATAATATACATCATAATATAATATATATGGCACATACACACTAGTTGTACCCACCATACCTTGCTGTGGCCAACCTTCCCTCCCTCTTTCGCTCCTCCTTTCTTTCTCTCCTTCCTTCCTTCCCTTTTATTTTCTTTCATTCTCTCCTTCCTTCTCTTCCTCTTCCCTGCCTTCCTTTTTAATTTCCCTTCCTCTTTCTCCCTTTTTTTCCTTCTCTACCTATTCTTGGACTGCAACACCCAGCAGTCCTCCTGATCTATCTATCCATCTATCTCTATCTTATCTATCTATCTATCTATCTATCTATCTATCTATCTATCTATCTGGAGAATTGCTGGAAGTTGCAGTCCAGGAATAGGAAATTGGAATATACAGAGATTGGGGTGCTCTCAAAGAAATCCAAGGAGAAGAAAGCTTGGAATTGTTTTTGTGCATGTGCTGTAGTGTCTTTTTGCTTTTTTGGCCTTTTAAGTCCCTTCGGTTGTGTCTTTCTGTGTTTTTAAGAGTGATGGTCACTTGTTGGCCTGAGAGGTGTATTGTGTTCAAATTTCATGTCAACTCGTCCAGTGTTTTTTTAGTTATGTTAATCCCACAAACGAACATTACATTTATATTTTTATATATAGTGTAATCCATGAGTTATATGAGTCTACACTGACCATTATAATGCAGTTCAAACTGCTTTATACGGCAGTGTAGATGGAGCCATGGATGCCCTTTTTCTAGTGGTGCAAAAGATTTTAAAAAATACCACACACTTTTTGGCCAAATGTAGTGTTTGGTGGATTGTGTCAATGGAGAGGAGCTCAATTATTACCACATTTCCAGATCTACACCTGAACTATATCCAATTCTACTATTCACATTCAATAGGATTATTCTTCCAATGTTTACCTCATCAACTACACTCACATGGTTGTTTTTTTAAAAAAAAGGTGATGTTGAAAGGCATTCTTAAGAGAACTTGCTGTTGTAATAGTGAAAGTGAGAATCTCATCAGGCAAATTTCTAGACAATGTGGGATTCTTTGTGTGAAAAATTCCAAACAAACTGTTTACTGGCCTCCCCGCTTTCCTGCTCAGCTATCCCAACTATAACATGTTCCCATGAAAGAACTAGACAGGATTATAATTCGACAGCAGTTAGAGTAAAACCTATTGAGTTTTTGAGCAACGGGCACATGATTTTCTTCCCAGTTAATTTTACTTTTCTTTGATGCTTTGTGTTAGGCTTCTAGAAGAAAATGGACAATTTGCCAACATGAGAAAAGAACAAAGTGTTCATGATCTGGTTAGTAGTCACTCCTTTAATATCTACTGGCTGAATTGTATATATTCAAAGGTTTCTCGGTAGCTGTCTTCTAGATCTGGGCTCCTTAAACTTTTTCCAGTCATGACCCCTTTTCACCCATTTTTTTTCATATACCTGGGTACATAGGTATATGAAGTTGGTATACAAATCAAACACTTACTGATAATGACTCTGAATTTATCATAAAACAATGTTTTACTATACGTATAATTTTATCATTTATTAAAGACAAACACTAATTTGCATACTAATGAGATGGACGTGCATGGTTGAATATCTCAGAGGTTAAGATCATCTGGGGAGGTCCTGCTCTCGATCCCACCCCTCTTGCAGGCACAACTGGTGGGGATGAGAGACAGGGCCTCCTTAGTGGTGGACTTTGGCTATGGAACTCTCTCCCCGGGAAAATTTTATCAGCTCCCTCCCTCCTGAACTTCAGGAAGAAAGTGAAGATGTGGTTGTGGGACCAAGCGTTTGCACAATGATTCCCAGTTAACAATGACCTCTCAGTGAAATAATGAACAATGCAAATGGCAATTGGAATGGCTCCTGGAATATGCTTTTGGACTCTGTGATTTTAAAAATTGTTTGAAATGTTATATTTTAATTATGTGATTTTAAAGTATATGTTGTTTTAATTTTATATGTATTTAAGGTATCAAATTGTGCCTTTGTTGTGAGCTGCCCTGAGCCTCCTTCAGGGTGAGAAGCACAGGATATAAATGCAACAAATAAATAAATAAATATTTTATATAAAGGATTAAATTAATCTTGGCTGAATTTTTGATACTGCAGAACATAATATCAAATATTCAGCCAAGATTTAACATTCTTCATACCATTTTGGCATGCTTGGTTTGCAGCCTCAAGTGACAGAATATATATTGGTTTTTCTTTTTTCTCCTGAATTGAGGAACTGCAGTTGGGTGCTTTGGGGTCTGTACTCTGACGTAAAAAGCCCCTGGTTGTAGAATGGGCCATGTGCCTGAAATGGACCCACACTTCCCTCCCTCTTGTTCCCATCATTGTCTTTACACATACATACATGTATGCAATCCGTATCCTTTCCTCCATCCAAAATAAGATGTTGGGCTGCAACTCCTAGCAGGACCAGACAACTTCACAGAGATCATGGATACACTCCAGTGAGCATTGGAGGACCACACATTTTTTTATATCTGTACTAGAGACTGTGTGGGATTGACTGAATATCAAATATTGTGTAGGGAGACATACCAATGTGTTGCAAATAATTACATTTACTTTCCCTGCTTTTAATATACTACAATCGTATTATTCTAACTCTATCTCTCCTTTTTACTTATTTTCTTGATGATTTTATTGTTCAAAACAACTTGTTTATTTTATTTTAAAGCATTACCCTACTGTTTGTTTTCAAGGTGGAATATTTATTTCCAAGTAAGCATGAAGGATCGAAAGTGAATCCAAACAGGATGATTGTAGGGGCAAAGCAACAGGAAATGCATCATAAGCGCTTCTCAAAAATATTCAGACTTCCGAAAGAAAATAAGGCATTGAAGCAAGAGAAAGAGAAAGATCTTGTTGAAATGTAACTATTTTTAGTTTAATTCCAACTGTTATTAGGTGACACTGTTTATGAACTGAGCTGATTTTGTTTTTCTACAGTAAGATTAAAGATAGAGATGGTTATCTTAAAATTTCTCTAGGTGCATGTCTTCAGTTTTCGAATATGCAAGTATAAAGTTTGCAAATGGTCTTTACTAGCAAAGAGCTAGAAGTTCCCATCTTGGTGAATGTTTTCAAAACTGAAAAAAAATGCCTTGAAGTGTTTTTGACTTTTCTATTATAATATAGATTTTTTTTCCAACATATTAATGATATAGCCATAGCATACCATGCTATAAATATTTAAACCTGCTGACTTTAGCTTTCTACATTTAAGGGGCTGACTTTTACAGGATTCGATCATCTGTGGATTTGATTAAAATGTTCTCTGTAGAAATCTCTAGGGGCCCTTCCACACAACCATATAACTCAGTATATCAAGGCAGATAATAATAATAATAATAATAATTATTATTATTATTATTATTATTATTATTATTATTATTATTATTATTATTATTTATACCCCACTACCATCTCCCCAAAGGGGTCTCGGGGCAGCTAACATGAGGCCAAGCCCAAAAATACAATTCAGCAAAATAAAATACAAAACAACAACAAAAATACATCACAACAAAATACATAAAGTAACAAGATAAAATAAACAGTGCAAAATAACATAACAAAAGTCAAACACAGTGGGAAGGCCAAATGCACAAGATAAAATGATAAAATCCTGGATGAGATAGGAGTAGAAAAAGTGTATTTGTGAAGGAGGAGCCCAAGAAGGAAGAACAGTGGAGTTAGACCTTCATTAAGGACGGGGGAAAGTGCATCATGAGGACGACACTGTAGATGGAACAGCCAGAAATAGGTTATAATCCACAATATCTGCTTTGCACAGAGTTATCTGAGTCCATACTGCCATATAATCCAGTTCAATATGGATTTTATACAGCCGTGGCCAGTTCCAGACAGGGAAGAAGTCCATGCTGACCTGAGTTTAAAAAACTCAGTGCTGGATGTCTTCAGTGCTGGATGTCTAGATGTGCTCCCAGAACCTTCCAGGAAAACACCCAGACACCCTAACCCCATCCCCAAAACCCCTTTAAAAAGGAAAATAATTTACCCAGCTGCCATTATCTTAGTGCCATAGTTCTCCTGGCATGTAGAAATGATGCACCAAGAGAAGGGAGGTGAGGAGAAAAATCACTCCTCTCCTGCCTCTTCTCCTGGCAAATCATTTCTACATGTCAGGTGGATTCTGACACCAGGGTAATGGCGTCTGGGTAAGTTATTTTCTTTTTAAAGGTTTTGTTTTTTTTAGAGATTTGTGGATGGGGTTACAGCCCTCTGAGTTTTCCAGGCTGATTCAGCCCAAAAAAGCCAAGAGGGCTATGTGGACTTAGTAGTTCCAGGACTACCAAGAGGTCAGACCACATAGGGCCCTTACTGCATTAGACCTGGGTTTTTCAGGAAGACCCAGGTCTAATCCAATGTCTAATTCGGGACAAAGCAGATTTTCCTGCTTTGTCCAAAATTTATTCGCTTTTACTGGAGATGTCATTTGTGCCCTGTGTGGAAGGGGCCTACGCCTTCCAGTGTGACTCTGTGGTCAAATTCTGGCAGAGGCTGACCATAGTGTTGTGCAGAAGGAGTCTGAAATTCCTAAAGAGAACGTATCAATCAAAATTACAGATAATCAAATTTGCAAAAGTGTTATGTTCTTGCTAGTAAAAAAAAACATTTACATTAATCCGTTTTTTTTTCTTCATTTTTATGCAAATTTCCAGCAAATGTGGAGGACTGAGTGTACTTCATTTTATGAAGAATTAATTCCATTTGGCTTTTAGAAAGTGTATTCCTCAGAGTGCACAATCCTAGTATCACTTCATATTTTAATGAGTTCAGTTGTAAATTCTCATTATATTGAAGGTGTTCTGCATTTGCATTGTAGAATGGAAGATGAGAAAAATAATACCACTTTCTTGACCAAACATGAAATGATTCCTGTACCTTTAACTCTGGAAGATGTTGCACTCTACAACCCTGTTTTGGTAGGTTTGTTTTTTAGTTTTCTTCCTTGACTTTTTGGATCCCCAAGTATACTGCCATATAAAATACAGATTATCTGCTTTGAACTGGATTATATGAGTCTACACTGCCATATAATCCAGTTTAAAGTAGATAAAAAAAGGATTTTATATATGACAGTGTAGAAGAGGCCCTATATCCCAGCATCTGATCCCAGATTATCTAATTATCCCAGATTATCTGGCAGTGTAGCTTCATATAATCCAGTTCAAAGCAGATAATCTATGATCAGATGCTGGGATATAGGGCAGTGGAGATCCCGCCATATACTCATTTAATCCAGTCCAAATCAAATAATTTGGATTATCTGCTTTAATAATCTGGAATGTATGGCAGTGTAGATCCAGCCTGGGTCTACACTCAATTTAGCATGGGTTTTCCTAGGCCAGTTGATTTTGAAAACTTTTTCAACTCTGCAATTTATCAGGGTCATTGCAATTAAAACATTGTTTTTTAAAGTGCCTCTTGGGCTTTATTGTCAATGGATTTTCTCTTTTAAAACAAACCTAAAACAAATAAAGGATTTTTCATACATCTCTTCTGATTTCTATTTTAAATAGTAGTACAGTTTCTGGCAAGCATTTGAAATCAATCTATAATTAGTAATGTAAAGTATTGCTGTGAAGTAAATTAGACTGATCTCCTGTAGTTCCTGGGGGGAAATCCTGAGACCATCCTGTTTTTACAATCTCTGTCTCCAAGGAAAGGCTGTGAAGAAGTGTGGGGTGTGGGAGAAAAAGGGGAGGGAGAGAGAAAAATTGGGAAACAGAGCGGGAAACCTAAACTTGTAGCCTATGGAAATTCATGAAAAAATTTTCCCCCTCTGACATCAAGATTTGGGGGAAAAAACCTGTTCCTTGATGTCAGGGAAAGGTAGTCAAAATGCTCAGGAGGATGTATTTTGCTTTGAAATGTTAGGGTCAGCGTCCTTTCCCCTTCCCCCAGACCAAAGCCAATGATGGGACGGAGGGTGGGACTTGGATTGTGGGGATCTGCCCAGAGAAAGTGGAAAGTACTGTCCTGCAGCTGGTGCAGTTCATTTCCAATCCATTTTCAAAACAAAGGAAAAAAAATAATGTAGAGAAATAGATAACGGCCACATAAAAAGCCCCTTCCCTCAATGCACGCATCTTTTCCTGGAAGGAGCATTGGAAAACTACTGTGGTTTACCCCCTTTTCTTTCTCACAGGCTTACAATGCCTAGCATCTTACTTCAGATATCAGGTTTGCAGCTTGGGAGTTCTCCTGTACTCATCACTGAGCCTGGAACCCCAGGTCTTGGCGGTAGCCAGGGGAGTATTCACACAATTAAAACTTCTGCACCAGTTGAACCCATACCTTTGGCCATGGTAGTCCATGCTCTGGTTACACCCCAAATAGACTACTGCAATGTGCTCTACATGGGGTTGCCTTTGAAGACTGTTCGGAAGCTTCAAATGATCTAATGGGCAGCAGCCAGATTGCTCACCGGAACTTGTAGAGGGAGCATACAACCCCTCTGCTGGCTGCCAGTCTGCTACTGAGCACAATTCAAAGTGATGGCTTTAGCTTATAAGGCCCTAAATGGTTCTGGCCCAGCTTACCTGTCAAAACAGATATCTCCCTATGAATCATCTCAGAGTTTAAGATCATCTGGGGAAGCCCTATTCTTGGTCCTGCCTCCTTTGCAGGTGTGACTGATGGGGACGAAAGAGAGGGCCTTCTCAATGGTGGCACCTCAGCTGTGGAATTCCCTCCCTAGTAATATTAGGTCAGCCCCCTCCCTCCTGACTTTCCATAAGAAAGTAAAAATCTTTATTTTAATTGTACATTGTTTTGGAAGACATCAAATAGTTGCCTAAGTGTAAGCCACCTTGAGTCCCTTCTGAGGTGGAGAAAGGCGGGGTAGAAATGTTGTGAATAAATAAATAAATAATATTAAATGATTTGGGAGACCACGCTTCTCTTCAGCTAGCAGTACACGTAATTAATAAGAATTTGGATCACAGCATTGCAATGTATTGTAGGATTGCCAAGTAACTGTTGGTCAAAGTGTTAGTGTTCAGTTTGATGTTTTTAAATAACTTGGATTTTGTATCTAATCGTTTGTATTAAACTCATCTGTACATGATTACTTTTAGGAAGCCAAGCTGTTGGGTAACTACTGGATAAACTATGCTGACCAAAACTCCATCAACAACAATGAAAAATCCTAATTACAAATTCAGCCTTCTGTCAAAACTTTGTGGATGCTGGTGGTTATGAGAATTTCAAGAAAATAGTCTGAGAAAATAGAAGTATCACTGGATATTTTTTTTAAGGAGAAGTACAGCAAGCAAATATCTTGGCTTCCCAACACATTTTGACCTAGAGGAACTCATCTGCTCTAAACAAATTGTTTGGGCTATTAAGCCCTGAGTAGACCTCCTGATTTTTCCCCATCTTTATAGACTTCTTATTTTCATGTTCCCTATAAGAGATAATTAGAATCTAGAAGAAACTTCCATAAACATGTCTGAATAATTATGCAATCAAGATGAGTGAAAAGAAAAGCAAAAACAGACAACAGACATAATATGGAAGTTTTCTGGTCACATAAACAAAGAGATTCTCATACATACTTTTCAATGCTTTTTGCTCTTCTCTGATACATTTGTATAATCCTTCCTTCTTTGGAGGTTCCCTACCCTTAATGTTATTATGGTACTTTTTCATAAATATCTTTAAAGAACATAATTAAATTTACCCAAATTATAAATATTTGACAGCCAGATAGGTTGTTGTTGTTGACATGGCAGAAACTTCTAGGAAATTGTTTTTCCACAATCATTACTGTTATGAACCTTTCTTAATTTTAAAATAGCTTTTGAAGGAGGAACCTTTCCTTAGGGTAAATAAGAAACCTGCCCCAAACCCCCTAGATGTGTGAAGATTTGGCAATATATTGCCCTCAGGTATGTTAAGTACTTTAAAGCATCCTGCCTATTTCCTGTCATTATGGCCTCACTTTCTCTGTTTTGCTCCCTGGCCTTCCTATTTCCATCTCACCTACTTCTTTAGGCTGCCAAACAAACATCTTGTTTCCCCTTTCCTAGAAGCAAGAAGCCAAGTTCATTTTTGTTACATTTGGAGAAGAAAGATCCAGGAACAGTGGAAATATAAGTATGTGATAAACAGAGTGATCCCCTACCCTGATGGTGACAAAAGGCCACCCCCTTCCTCAAATTTCTATGCTTCATATTATAAAAATGTGAAATAGTATTAATAATGAGTTTGCCGTTCTTGTTATTATGCATTTTCAAGTCATTTCTAACTCCACGGCAAACCCATCATGGAGTTTTCATATTCAGTCTATGTGTGGAATGAAGAACAAAACACCAATGTGACTATTACAAGATAGTGTTTTCATTCAATTATTTGAAATTTCTCTCATCACTGAATTGGGATTCTTTGATCAGAAAACATGAATATAGTTCTTTAAGGCTACAGGGCTATTCCCTCTTTCCTCATTTGTACTAGAAAAGAGATTCAGGGCCCTTCTACACAGCCCTTTGTCCCAGAATATCAAGGCAGAAAATCCCACGTTATCTGAGTGTAGACTCAGATAATCTAGTTCAAAGCAGATATTGTGGGATTTTCTGCCTTGATATTCTGGGACATAGGGCTGTGTGGAAGGGCCCTCACACTAGAGAGGGTTGATAACCAAGAGTCTGGAGATATTGTTTTACGAGGTTTTATGTGTTGTCGAAGGCTTTCATGGCCAAAATCACTGGTTGCTGAGAGTTTTTCAGGCTGTATGGCCATGTTCCAGTAGCATTCCCTCCTGATGTTTTGCCTGCATATGTGGCTTGTTTTCTTTTCATCAGGAATTATACTTGTTAGAACTGCAGTCTCCAAACTGCTACTTAATTGTGATATATTTATTTGGCAAGCAGATACAGAATATTCTAAGATGAAGCAATGAACAGCTGTCTTTCTTTAAAAGGGTCTTTGAACTTAGAAGGATGTTACTGGCAGGGAATTTAAAGTGAGCTTGGAAAATGTAAGATATGACACCTAAAACTTAAATGAGATTTACTAAAATAATCAGAGAGAATGATTATTTCTTGGGAACAGCTTCAATTTTTAAAAGTTCAAATGGTTGAAAGAAAAGGCAGAGAAGGGTGTAAATGACTACTGTTCAGGTATTAAGGAAGTGAGAAGTGGTGTGTGACACAGATCAGAGTTGAGACTACTCTTGTTCACACTATCCAAGAAGGACCTGTTGAAAGGCGTTATGTGCCTTGCATATTCACAAATAATGAGCAACTGGGAGAATTAATACCAATGAGAAGACCAGTGCTTATACTTGGGCAAAACAGCTGAAACAGTTGTTGCAATAATCACATGTCTTATAGCAAGCCCCTTTGAGATCACTGAGTATGCTCAGCATCTACATTGTAGAATTAATGCAGTTTACAACAATGTACGTGTGATGGCTAAATGCTACAGAATCATGAGAGTTGTAGTTTGATGAGGTGCTAACATTATTTCTTAGAGAAGGTTAAAGGCTTTGCAGAACTATAACACCAACAATTCCATAGCATTGAGCCATGGCATTTAAAGTTGTGTCAAACTTCATTAATTCTACATATGGAGACACTCTAAGTACCTGATCATATATTTGGAGTAACAGCAGTTCCTGCAATTTCTTCAGGCCTTCACAGCTATCAATGCTTAAACATGGATCTGCTGATATGGCAGACAACATATTTAACAGCAAAAGAGGTTGGTATACCAAAACCTTGTCCCAAGTACAGATTAGAGAGAGTGTGTATGTTGATTCTACATTACTTATACATATGCCATTTCTGTCAACAAGACATTTGTCATTTTTTCCCATTTTCTTCCATACTTTAGACAGACAGAACTGTCACTCTCACGCTCAGTTTTGCCCCTAGAAAGTATTGGAAGTCCTTGAGTTACCAACATCCTAGTACATTTTTTTTATGTCAGGAGTGACTTGAGAAACTGCAAGTCACTTCTGTGAGAGAACTGTCTGTCTGCAAGGACATTGCCCAGGAGAAACCTGGATGTTTTTGTTGTTTTACCATCCTTGTGGGAGACTTCTCTCATGTCCTTGCATGGGGAACTGAAGCTGACAGAGGGAGCTCATTTGCGCTCTCCTCGGATTCGAACCATTGACCTGTTGGTCAGCAGTCCTGCTGGCGCAAGGGTTTAACCCATTGCACCTCAAGTGCAAATGATTCATAGATAAAACAACAGAAAGAAAGAGAATTCTACTCCTCAGAAGGAAAATTCACTCTTGGAAGCTTTATCATTAATGTTTTTTTCCACAACAAGTCACATTTTTCAAAAATCCAATTATCACAGGGACAGAAAGTGAGGTGAAGTCTTCTGAACAGGAGCACAGACAGCAAAGCAAACACCAAAGAGATGTTAACCTTTCCCTATGCTATCAAAAGCTAAAAGGTATATATATTTGGCTGGAGTTACACTTAAAATGTATCTGTTCCAACACACATACAAATGCAAGTTTAAAAAAACCTACAGAAGCTATTTTGTTCATAACTAGGGGGATAGCTTGTCTTGCAGGTATGCAATATGCTCTACCCATTTGCAGTCTTGCCATTAACAAGGCATTTTGAGGCTAGACTGTGAATGTTAGGATTCAAAACAGTGTTTTATGCACAGGGCTTTCTTATGGGAAGTGGGGAAGTCTTATTTACTTTTGTGTCTTCTGAAAGCTCCCCAGACAAAACACAGTGAATGGCTGGGAACAGTCCTTCCCTTTGAAGAAAGAAAGGAGCTCCATTTTCAGATTGAGTTGTTTTGGTATTTTTAGAACCTTATTGGGATATCTGGAAGCTCTGGAAACAAAATCTTATGGAATTGCCAGATTAGTAGATAAATCTCAGAAATACTTTAACGTAATTATGTAATGTAATTATACTTCAGAATGGGAAATCTGCATGCAATATTTCAATTCATTAGTATTTGGTCCCAATAAAGCAAGTGATGTTCACTATAGTAGAATGTGGAATTCTTTCTTTCCAAGCTAAAGTGTGGGTGACTGTGAGAAAAAAATAGTATATCTCACAAGTAGAATAATTAGGATTCACAAGCAGAAGATGAACAATAACTAGTCTAGCAGAGACATAGAGAAGGATTAGAAAATCCTTTGAAGTTTATAGAGTTGCTATAAGTTAAGAGGTGATGAGTGAATGTGATTCACTGGGTTGTTGTAGGTTTTTCAGGCTGTGTGGCCATATTCTAGAAGCATTCTCTCCTGACGTTTCACCTGCATCTATGGCAGGCATCCTTAAAGGCTGTAATTCAGTTTCCTTAAAACCAGCAGAATGAAACTGATTTAAATCGAACTTCTTTTGGTACAGTATATCATATTTTGGATGTCTTTCCTCGCTAGCACTTCCCTTAGCTTCTCAACCCTTTCCTTTTGATCAGGTCCTTAATATGAGCTCTGGCCACTCCTCTTTAAAGAAGAAGAAGCAACTCAAGGAAAGGGGAGGGAATCCGAGGATGGAGGAGTTGTGAAGGGGAACCTGTAAACCCTCACCTTTTGGCTGTCTCAAGTACTTGTCTGCCTCAAAGCTTAATATGATGCAATTAATGAACAGCCAGCCTCCGCCCTTCCTGCCACGTCTGAAGGCAAAGGTGCTGACAGGGTGACACCTTCTTTGAAGGAATTCTTTTTTATGGGAGGAAAAGGCAAAAAAATAGCCTTTTCGGTGGCTCTCCATGTCAGTGTCTCCATGTTAGCTTCCATTGGAAATGACTAGAAACCAGAAATGGAAAATAATCTGTTTATATCTTTGAGGAGTAATGGTTAAGTTGTTCTTTTATTGTACATTGGCAGCAATTATTTTAAAATGTACTATGTACTTAAAATGTGTTCCAAATATCTTCACTTTTCCAATGAATTATCAATCGATGATCGATCCCTTTCTTGTCTCTTTATTTAATGCCTAGTGAATTTTCTTAAGGTTGTTCTGATAAGTTAGACTGAAGCATGTAAACCTTTCAGCAGATGTTGGTCTATTACCCCTCACTACAATGCTAACAGAAGTTGCAGTTCAACATCTGGAATTACAAACAACAATCTCCACCTTGTAATGTAAACACAGATAGCAGGCATTTGTGCTTATGTAATAACTGCACATTCATTTTCCCTGTAGCTTTCAGCTACAGTTGCATGGAGCACCTCTTTATGTTGGCCAGTGATTCCCAACCAGTGGTCTGTGGACCCCCAGTGGTTTGCAAGAATTAAAGTATGGTCTGCAAAACATTTACAATTTTAAACCTTTATTCGTTTTAATTAATCCATTGCTACACAGGTGGTGCTGGCGGGTAGGATGTCAAGCAAGCACAGAAGGCCAGGGGGAGGGCAAGCGATCAACGTCATGTCACGTATTCATGCCTCTCAGTGTCAGTCGCATGCATACTTGCTCAGCAGTGTTGGAGAGTTTGCAGAAGAAATCTAGGAAAAGCTCATGGAATTTCAAAATGATAGAAACTGAAAGGATGTGTTTGAATCCGATTCTCTTGAGTTTTGGTGTAAAAAAAGCAATTTTATACTAAAATTCAATGAATCACCTTGTGCTATCTTATGCTCTCCTCCACAACTTGTTTATGTGAAGAAGAGTTTTCTGCTTTGCTACTAATTAAAAACAAGTCCAGGAACAGATTGAAAGTAGGTGATGATATGTGTTTAGCTTTGAGCAATAATATTCGCCCCAGGATTACTCAACTTGTAAAGAAGATA